AGCTTTCCTTAAGGTAGTATTGCCCGCCTCCCGCACTGGCAAACGTGGGCAATCTCCTCCCAGGATAAAACCGCTACGTGCAAGGCCTAGAGCGGTAGCACCGTGCACCGACGAACGAGAACGACGGAAGTCACTGCCGGAGAAGACGATCGGAAATAGGGGAAATATCGGAAGTACAGAGAGAGAAGTGCTTTCGGAAGTGTCTTCTTCTCCTGCAGCCAAGCCCTCCTTTTATAGGAGGGAATTCTTGGCTCTTCGCTGGACCATCGGAGATTACGAGGGGACGAGTGTCCCTTCGGCCTCAAGTGTGCATGCATGCTTCATTTACAACGTACACTTCGTTATTAACGAAGTGTACACGCGCGTTTCGTTATTAACGAAGTGCCGCAGCCGCAGACGCGGGCGCGACGCGCCTCGCCCCGCCCCGCCCCGCCGCGACGCGCGCGCGCGCCGAGCCGGACGGCGTCGGCGGCGGGCGCGCGAGGAGTCTTCTTCTTGTTCCTTTCATAAGCTCAATTCAATGCCTAAGCTTAAATATGAGAATACGAAAGGTTTAGAAACCGGTGTGGGACAAAGACATTTACTCTACCTTAGTGTTCAACTTTGAGAATTAATTTCTCATTCACCCGAGCACCGTTCATGACGTGTCATATATCAAGACGTTCGTCTTACTTACGAGATTAATCGTCCATAATTATTTTGGAAAATAATTTTGTGGACCCAACCGAATTTATGTCCGAAAATGTCCAATTTACTTTAAAATTTCCAACAATTTCAAGAACTAATTTCTCATTCATTCGAGCACCAAATTTATCGCACAATATCTCGAAATACTCATCTCACTTAGAGTAATATTTGTCCATAATTATTTGGAAAAAATAAATTGTAGATCCTATCAAAATTTACGTTCAAAATTGTCCTGTTATGAGTAAAAATTCCAAGAGTAATTCAAGAATATTTAAAATGGTGAAGTAAAGGCACGCATGCATTCATATATAAGCGACCAAACTTGTGCTCATATTCACGGGTTGGCATTGTCCTGCCTATTCAATTCTAGTAAACACAAAACAAAGAAAAAAAATACTGCTTTGTCCCTAAATAAATATGTTGGGTTGATTTTTATCAAGATTACAAAAAATAAAGTATACGTACTTGTTATAATTGAAATTTATGCAAATAAAATGAAAATTAAATATCGCGACCAATTCATTTTCTAAAATGAGGTAATTTTTGGACAACCAAAAAAATATAACAAATTTTAGGGACACGTCCGGAATCATGAATATATCGGTTGACATTGTGTAGTACTTTCTCTCTTGTAGAGTTATTGGATCAATATCTTTTGGTTCAAATTAGGCTAATTTGAATAGTTAAATAGTTAAAAGTTGTGTTTCATATTAATATAGTGACAAAATTTTACAATTGAGTATTATTTATTTGTAGAATAATTTAAATAATTTATTTAAATAATTAATATACAATATTCCGTATGACACAAAGTAATGTTTAATTTATTTAATTGGTGATCAAAATTTGTTTAATTTGATTGGAAAAGTCAAAAGAGATTATACAAGAGACAAACCTATCAATTGGGCTATGATAAAGCTTAACTGATATGATGGTGAAATATTTTTTACTCCATGAAAAATAATTTTTATTTTATGAAAACAATGAATGGATACCTTTGGTAAATTACTTTCAACCCATTGCGCAAAGAAAAAAAACAATGAATGAATACAAAAAGTGCAATTCTTTTGAAAATATTCAATTAAATTTCTAAACATAGAGAGTCTCAAAAATCTTCATTCACTTTTTCAATTTGAAAGTTTTACATGACATTTCTACTCCGAGTAATTGTAGGGAGCATTTAATTTTAGTAATGAGCATTTACGACTATACGAGTAACTTTATATCACGACTAAACAAATAGTGAAATTTTTACTAAATAGTATTAAAACATACTCCGTATGTTATTTCTTAATATAGTCTTTAAACTTTTTTTATCATTAACACTATGTTTGGTTCAAGAATTTTGAAGGAAAAGAAAAGAAAATGGTTTTCTCTTATTTTCTTCTCCAAAATAGGAGGAATTTGGTTTTCCTTCCATTTGGTACATTTTGCTTTCTCATTCTCTTTTCCTTCTAGTTTTTCTTTCTAACCAAACAAGAAAACTTGTTTTCCACTCCATTTTCTTTTCTTTTCTCTTTTGAATTCCTTGAACCAAACATAGTGTAAATAATACTTAAATAATGTCTAGTGGCAGAAACAATGTCCAATGATGGTTGACATTTAGTTTGAACAATGTCTAGTAGACATTTAATTGAACAATGACCAATGGACAATGACTAGTAGTACAACATTGAGAAATAAAAAAATACAATGACTAGTAGTACAACATTGAGAAATAAAAAAATATAGTACTACATTAAAAAAGTTAATATGTTTTAATACTATTTAGGAAAATTCTAAAAACAAATACGGAGTACTTATTTGACTTATGTGAAAGACTGAAAGTCTATAGGGGACTTTGAGATTCTTTTGGCTAGAACTTTAGTATTCCCTCCGTCCTAAAACTTTTTTCCCACTTTCCATTTTTCCCCGTCCTAAAACTACCTTCCCATTAGAAAAAAAAGATGACAAATGACATTAATACCCTCATGTATTTACACCAATTATCTTCTAACTCTATATTTTGAATGATTACAAAAAAAATTTCAAAAATCTTTTTTTAAAGAGGGTAAAATTTGAAGTCAAAGCCAAAAATAAAAAATGGGGAAAAGTCAAACTGGGAAGAAAGAATTAGGACGGAGGGAGTATTTAACTTTAATATTTTGAAGGATGTTATTTTTTTAAAATGTTTTTAGAGTTAATATGCATCTTTAGAAAAGTAAAAAAAATGTAACTCCATATAAAAAATTGTCCTTATTTTTATTTTCAATATAAAAAAAATTACTAAAACCAAGAACAGAAAAAATTACTCCCTCCGTCCCAAATTATTTGCCACATTTGTATTTACGAGGCAAAATATCAAGTTTTTTCAATTTATTTTATTTACATATTGGTAAAGAAATAAAAAATAAAATTTACATATAAAAAAAGTACATGAAAAGTTCTTCGAAATAAGAGGTGTCAAGAATATTTTATTTTATCAAATAATCAATGAAAACATCGAATTAAACAAAAGTTCCCAACATTGCTGAAAAAGCAAATGTTGTGAATATTTAAGGAGGGAGGGAGGACCGTGGGGAAGTCAGTGTAGCGTCTTTCCAAAGGGTCACAAAACCCCAAAACGTAGTCCCCCCACCCTACGGCCAAAGGCATTGTACGAATTCTTCTCAGTTGAGTGCCCCCAAATCTCACCTTCTCTCACGGGGCACAGCATCACTATCTCTCTCTCGGCGCAGCCCACCATCACTTCCCGCAATATTTTCGGTTTTCTTTCATTTCCTCTAATTTCTCCGTCAAGATTCCGAGGAGCCCGGAGAAGAAGACAATCGGGAGAAACGCGAGAATCTAGTGCGCGGAGGGGAGAAAAAAGAGGGATTTTTTCGTGTTCGAGGACCCGGACCGGGATGAATGGTCGGATTTCTTGAAGGTTTTGCAGGTTTCGGAGATGCAGAGACGAAGGGGGTTTCTGGGTAAGTCTATTATGCTGTAGAATTGCAATGTAAGATGCCAATTTCTGCTTTGGCTGTTTATGTGTGTTTGTGATTTTAGTGATGATATGATATGATGGTGGTGGCTGCTGCGTATTCAGGTCCTGCTTCAGCTCAAACCCCTAAACCCGGTTCGCAGGAGAGTGATCCCCAGATCAACCCTAGAAGACCTCCATTACTGCCCTCCGAGAAGGACAACAATGGCGTCGTCAACAACAGCAGCAGTAATAACCCTAAGAGACTCAAAGGTCGTTTGGTCTCCTCCAGATACATGTCCCCTTCTCCTTCGAATTCATCTTCCAATTCATCCTCCGTGTCTTCCTCTTCCTCCAAGAATTCCACTCCCAGAAGATTCCCCTCCCCCTTGCTTTCAAGAAACGCTACAACCCCTCTTTCCTCGTCCGGGCCCAAAAGGTCCGTTTCTGTGGACCGGAGACGGCCGTCCGTTTCCAGGCCGGGAACCCCCGATCCTGATCTGAAAGTGGGCGAGATTTCTGCGGCTGCCAAGCTTCTGGTCACTTCTACTCGGAGTTTATCAGTTTCCTTCCAAGGGGAAGCCTTTTCTTTGCCGATCAGCAAGACAAAGGCCGCCCCCACTTCTCCCAGCTACAGTAGTTTTAGGAAGACGACGCCGGAGAGGAGGAGACCCGCCACCCCTGTGAGAGGCAAGCCTGAAGGAGGAGGAGATCAGGTGGAAAATTCCAAGCAAATTGATCAGCAGAGGTGGCCGGCAAGGTCGCGCCAACCAATTCCACTGTCTAGGAGTTTGAACTGTGACAATGCCGAGAGGAACAAGATCATTGGATCTGGCATTCAGGCACTCCGGCAATCCATGATCGACGAAAGAAGGGCTTCCAGTGATGAACATTCAGTCAACAATGTCCCTTCTGACCGTACTGCGTCTGATTCGGACAGTGTTTCTTCCGGAAGCACTTCAGGAATGCAAGAGGGTGGCGGGACCTCCCGCGGACTGCCACGTGGCGTGGCTGTCCCACCTAGGTTCTGGCAAGAAACCAACAGTAGGTTCAGGCGGTTGCAGGATCCGGGTTCGCCGTTATCCACAAGTCCCGCCGGGTCAAAGTTGATCGTGCCCCCCAAACTTAGACCCATTTCATCATCCCCTATCCGCGGCGGCGGCGGCAGCGCCATGAGACCGGCTTCTCCGAGTAGGATGGGTTCGTCTCCATCAAGGAGGGGAATGGTTAGCCCAAGCCGTGTGAGAAATGCTGTTAGTACCATTAGTAATAGTTTTGTTGAGACACCTTCGGTTCTTAGTTTTGCTGTGGATGTCCGGAGGGGGAAGGTGGGGGAAAACCGGATTGTGGATGCCCATTTGTTGCGGCTTCTTTATAACCGTTACTTGCAATGGCGCTTTGTAAATGCTAGGACAGAAGCAGCCTTGTGCGTCCAGACGCACAGTGAAGAGGTATATGATCTTACCGCATCTTGTTTACTTCAATATTTCCATCTTGGGGGTATGTTGGACAATTCGTGTAATTTGTTCATCGAATATGGTAACACGAGAACTAAATCAGTATAAAATAATGGAAAGTAAGCAATGTTAGCTAGTGCATCGTGTTTACTGAAATCACATTAAATTCGAAAAGGAAAGAATGTTAAGGCGATGTACAGAGATAGTGATGGTATATTGGTATTCAAAGAATCTTGGAATATTTAAAAGGTAAACCAATAACTACTTGCATGTGTCTCTATCCTCTGTAAAAAAAATATTTTCTTTTACTCAATTTCCTATTTATCATATGAAATATCTTCCATGGTATTCCAAGTCTATGAATCATTGAATCCGGCGGTGATTTTTTAGATGAAAATTCTATGAGGAGTGTGCATACTAAAATATAGGACCTTGGGTGATTGAAGTTGGTAAGAACGATAAGTTATGATAATTTACCCTTCATTTTTTTATTAGTGCACTTCGTAGGGTTTTTTTTGCAAATTGTAAATTTAAATAATTGACACTATGTTCTGCGTAGTTTTTGGAAATATTAAATTAGTCAAGCACATAATTTACCCTTTCTCGTTCATTTACAGGTTGTGACTTTTGGTAACTTAAGTGGTAGTGTTATACCCAAGTACAAGTTACTAGGCACACCACACACCTTAGAAAATGGCTAATGGCATACAGACTGTTATTTAGTTTCACTGTTTTCAAATATGGCTGTTTAGATTTATTCAAAGCTAAATAACTAAGAACATTTTAATGTGCATAGGATTCTATCAGAAGTTGTTTCAAAGAGATTCTTAAAAGGCTTTGAAGTTTGAACACTGAAACTGCTAATTAACCAAGTAATTTAAGTGGCTAACTTGATCAATAATTCAAAACCATATTTAACAACATTGTATTGAGTGTGCCAAAGACCTTGTGGTTTTGGTAATAACTCTACGTGCTTGACAATGGATGAACAGATAATACATTTTATTTTTAGTGTTAAAAAAACATTGTATTGAGTGTTGCAAGTGTTCTGCGTTCAATTTCATAGACTGAAAAAAAGAGTATGAAAAAGACCATCACAATTTTTAAACTATCCAAGGCCATAGGTCGACAACAAGATAGTGATAGTAAGGTTTTTTCTGATTTTAGAAAAAGTTTCAGCCGATGTACGGATTGTAGTATCGTGACCTAAGAAGACTGATAATTTGATGCATCTGAAAATTTTACTACATCAAAAAGTAGTGATCTTGCTGAACAGATGGTACTATAGCATGTAATTTGAATCCAAACACAGCATGTTGAATAGTTTCACATTGAGAAGAAGAAGAAAAACTAATGTGAAGTTCTACGGTCTATGCCACACCAGCGAAAAACTAAATTTCCTTTGATGGCTAGAAGATTTAAATCTAGATACACTTGCTATTGCTTCAGTCCTTGCCTAACAGTTGTACTTTCTGCAGAAAAATCTTTGGAATGCTTGGATAAAAATCTCAGACTTGCGCGATATAGTCACCAAAAAGAGACACAGGTTGCAATTGCTGAAGCAAAAGTTGAAGCTGGCATCTATTCTGAAGGGGCAAGTAAGTCTTTTTTCATTCGAATAGCTTTATTTTCTAACAAAGTCTGAAAGTAAAATATCAGAACTGTTCTTGCTCATTGCTGAGTTGTGTTAATATTGCTCTAGGTATCCTACTTAGAAGGCTGGGCATCTTTGGATAAAGACCACTCTGTCGCTTTACGTGGGGCCATTGAAGCTTTGAAGGGTAGCACTTTACGTCTTCCAGTTCTTGATGGAGCAATTGTATGCGCTTCTTGTCTTCTTCACTCTTGTAGTAATTTTTGAATAAATATTTACAATGTTTGGCGATGAAATAAATCCGATTTATCTTCTGAAATTCGATAGGCTGACAGTCAAAGCTTGAAGGAAGCTGTTGGTTCAGCGGTTGATGTGATGCAAGCAATGGTTTCTTCTATCAGCTCCCTTTTGGCAAAGGTAATTTGTAAATGTTTTCAGGTTTCTTAAACTGCAAGTTCCGTCATTGTCTGTTATGCACCCTTTTTACGGAGTATACTGAATTTATCTATCTATACACTAAGGGTATGTTTTGAAAACCCAAAAATGCTAGGAAAAAAACAATGGGAAGGAAAGTTAGAACAACTTTTTTTGAGAGATTAAATAGATAGATTCAAATTCATTTTATTCATTTATACTCCCCACATAAAGATTAAATAAGAAGTCTAAATATACACACACACTTTGTAAAGTATTGGGAAATTATAGACATATTTCATTTTCCAATATAAGACTCGACATAAGAAAATTGATAAATGTTTGGTATGGGATCTCTAAAAAATATGAAACAAATGGAAGGAGCGAGAGATAATCTTTACATTACTGTCTTTTATTCGTAGTCCAAAGAAAACTAGATAACATATATAGTCAGTCATGGGTGAGCATGACACACAATAACCAGAAAGGGTTATGTTTCAGGTAGAAGAAGTGAACATTTTGGTAACAGAACTTGCAAAAATGACTGCAAAGGAGCGGGTTTTACTTGAACAGTGCAAGGAATTCTTGTCTATGTTAGCAACAATGCAGGTCAGAAACCACCTCATATTTTTTGTTATTGTATACAATTATTCACTTTGGTTCTTCTGACACCCAACCCGTTTCATAGTATAACACCGGTCTATTTGGGAGCCTAAAGTCTCTGTTCAACACGGAAGTGATTCCTACCCCCTAACCTGCTTTTGCACCCCCCACCCCATTGACAGTGTATTGACACCCAAATCGTGGTGGGGGGTGGGGGGTGGGGGGGGGGTCAGGTTCAACAGAAACACCATAGGGCTTTCAAAATGGACAAGTGTCATATTATGACATTGGCCCTTGATGTCAAAAGAACTGGGTTTTGTTGACAATGTTGCTTCGTTTGTGACAATTTCCTCTTTTTCGTTTTCAAATGTTAATTGCGCAGGTAAAGTATTGTAGTTTGAGAACACACGTATTACAACATCACCGTGCATCAACAGCCACCTGACAAAAGACGGGCCACCCATCTGTAGAAGAACTGATATTCATTTTGACCACCACCACCACCACCACCCCCCCTGGGACTCAACAACAACAAAATCTAACCCCATCAACCCGGTGGCGGCAGTGACACATCTCAGAGTTGCTTAGGAGTGCGTTCGTTCCGACAAGATGACTAAATTTTGGCTTCAGTTTTGGGACACTCTGTCTGTCTCCCCTTCAGCGAAATATTCCACAAAAGATGTGTTTTCCTTCTCTTACCTAATATCGGTATACGTACTCTAACGTAATCCCTCCCTCCCTCCATCCATCAACTGTCTAGCTTAAAGGAGGTGAAAATTGGTGTATATATATATGTAAAGATTTCTGAAAAGATTTACTGTAGAATGTTGCCCTCCAGAGGATTCCCACTGATCTGATTGAGCATATTCTTTTGGCAAGTGTTTTAGTGCAGTTTGGGTTATGCTCAAAAGGGATTTTTATTTGTGTTCTTAGTTTTGCTCTATATGATTGGGATTGGTTTTTGCTTGTGTAATTGAATGCCTCTCTCTGTTATCTTCTTTTTTTCATTGGTTTTGTGCAATTTGGGCTATGCTCAAAAGGGTTTTTGTTTGTGTTCTTAGTTTTGCACTATATGATTGGGATTGGTTTTTGTATATGTGATTGAATGCCTCATGCCTCTTTTTTTCATTTGACTTTTCTTAGTTAAATTTTACAAATCTTGATTGTGCTGCAAAAAAGTTATATTGATCTACGTTTCTCCGTGTAAACTAATTGTCATTAGGAGTTTGTTTGGTGAGTTTTAGAGATATGAAAAAATATGGGTTATGAAATATGATGTGTTTTGAAATCCGAAATTAATTTGTTTGGAGAAATTTAAAATTATAATTTAATTAGTGATAAACGGGGGTGACCAACAACGCCGGTGGTTGGCAGTGACAATGGTAGCCGATGACGGAGAATGATCATTGATTAAGAGAGATATCAAACTCTCATATTGATATCTCCCAAATTCGAAAATATCAAAACCTTTCATTTGAAAGATTTACATATCTGGAGATATCAAATTCGATATCTTTTTTTACTTTACCAAACACCGAAAAAAAATTCTAATATCTGGAGAGAAAAAAATTTATATCTTGTTTGCTCACCAAACACATCCTACAATTTTTTTCCTCTTATTATGGATGGGTAAATTGTGTTTGGTCTAATTATCTTTAATAATTTGCCAAATAAAGAAAATGAACAAATTCATCAAGAGGGTAGTAATTAAGGAGTAACCACAACCTAGGATTAAAAGCCATAAAAGAAATATACTCCATAGCTTAAAAATACTACAAAATGGAACTTCACATGAAATTAGGCATCAGGCAAAATGTAGAAGAAGAAGAAGAGGAAGAAGAAGAGGATACAAATGGAGTTTTGCTAAATACCAACCACCAAAAAACAGACCAACCACAACCTACAGCAGTAAGGAGTAACACAATCTAAGCAGCCCAACATTACAATTTTTCTGGCACTTACCACTAATGTTGTTAATAAATATGGAAGGGGGGGAAGCTAAGAAACTGAACGCTTTGATTTCCTTGAAGGAGTGGACGACGACTTCGCGTCCTCCGCGGCGGCATTGCACCCAAGACTACTCCCCGAAGAATCCGAGCCGCTGTTGTCGCCGCTGCCATGCCCGCCTTTGCCAGACCAGATTCTGGCAAAAACCCTCTTCGGAACCACCAGACCTTTCATCTTGCCGATGGTGGCCGCCGCCGCCTTGTCGGCAGCATTCCCCAGCTTCAGAGCCGCCAGCTCGCTCCTCAGAGCCCTCACCTCCTCCGCGTCCCACTCCTCTTCCGTGGTGGTGAAGGAGCGGGAGCTGCCGTAGGAGACGGAGTTTCCGGCCGGTTTGGCGGCGGCGGCGGGGAGGTCGGGGGTGGTGCTTCCGGAAGAAGACGACGCGTTGTTAGCCGCCGCCGCGGACTTGACTTGCTCGAAAAACAGGATTTGGACGACCACACGTAACGGGAGCCTGTCGTTTTGTATCGCGTGCATGCATGCGTCTGGGGAGAGCTTCTTGCAGTCCATCAGTCTGCAGATTCTCTTCCTCTCACTCTTGCTCATCCCTGGGTGCTCCTACACCACCCAAAAAAAGCAAATTTTTTGTTTGATTAGGACTTGGTCTGGATGGGTAATTAAGTCTTCTTTCTTGGAAAATTGAAAAATGAATGAATGTAGACATAACGTATGTCTACATTCATTCATTTTTCAATGAATCAAGAAAGTCATAATGGACATTTAATACGGAATGAAGGGAGTACATAGATTTAGGAACCACGTTGTCAACAAACGGAGCACTGTAAGGTGCCCAAATGAATCTAAACAAAACAAAATTACCTTGTGGTATGTTTGGGAACATGGATTTGGATTTTAAATCCGGATTTGACTTAAATTCCATGTTTGGGAAACTTAAGCATTTTGAATTTGGATTTGAATCAAATTCTTTACATTCAAAACAAAGCTTAATTTGAAATTCATGCACCTCCTCTAGTCATTTGAAATTCAGGATTTCAAATTTTGGAATTGAAATGCATGAATTGAAATGAAATGCTAGTTGCCAAACACTACCTTGAGGTACATGTCGATTGCCCGGTAAAGGCCATCATG